CCCCTCTCTCCTCTCACCTCCTGTGTCAGTTACCCCTGTCAATTCCCCCGTGTCAGTTTCTTCTCTTGCTGTTATCCTGTGCCTGACTGCGTGAAGGGAGTGCGGGCATTTGAAGGGGCCCAGGTTAGCTCTGAGAACCAGGAGAAGCTAGTGAGAGGTAGAGCAAAGAGTTTCAGGGCGCTGACGAAGGCAAAAGGTATAGGAGGGCCGGCCAAGGAAAGGGAAGTTTGGAGATGATTGAGGATCAAAGAGAGAAACCAAGATAGGAGCCAGTACTTTCGTCCCTCACAGCACCCCGCCCCTTTTGCTGTGCTCATCAGCCCACCCGCCCAGCAGCCTGGAGGCCCGGAGCTGTCCCAGGCGGCTCTTTGCGTGCTGCGGGAGAAGAGTCCTGTTAGGTGGGTGCACCGCAATCCTTGGCTCTGGGACACCAGACGACGCAGATCTGAATACATCACTTGACCAGGGGTAAGTGGACAAGTGCCCCGTGCCCTCGGCTTTGATGCAGGAGCGCTTCCAAAGGGTGGAAAGGTGCAGGTTGAGTGAAGGTGTGGGGATAGGGATGCTGAGGGCTGGGGAGCACTGGCTGGTTGGCTGTGGGCTGGGGTGGTAGGGAGCAGTGCAAAGGCAGCAACAGATTGTCTTTGGACCCAGGGAGAGAAATGTAGTGGGAGGAAACTCTAGGGGCATTGAGATAAGGTGGCTATTGGCAATGACCAAAAACATCCTTTTCACTTGGGATGATCTCCTAAACCAGAGCTTTGCCCTACCTTTGGACAGCGATCTGCTCCATCCCTGGGCAGGTACTAAGCTCCCTGGGAACCTGCTCTCCTGCCTCTTCAAAATCAGCCCGGGAGGTGGGCATGGGAATAAGGATACTGGCCCTTTTGCCAAAAGCCACTTCAAGTTGCAGAGGGTGAGCTCATGGGGGTTCAGGAACAAGAAGAAGGCACTTCTTTTTGTTTTGTATTCTTCAAATTTAAGAAATGGCCAGATTAATCTGCCTGGCTTCCTTAAATGAAACAGGAAATGCAGATTGGGGGGGGGAGGGGGTCAGTCAGATCTCTGATCCAAAGTGGACACCCTCCTCCCTGCAAACATACACACTAACTTGGGCAGTCATGTTCATTACACACACACACACACACACACACACGTACTGGGCTGTATTCACAGATCCTGATCTTTCTCCCTGGTTTCTAAGAAGGATACTGGAAGAAGGACTTATTCTACATTTCCAACCTGGGCTCTCGGGCCATAATAAGGTGTGTGGTAATGACTGAAGGGCTAAGCAGGTGTGCGGTAATGGCTGAAGGGCTAAGCAGGTGTGCGGTAATGGCTGAAGGGCTAGCAATGTTATCACTCCCGCATGAAATGTCTGGAGTCTGGAAACCAGCCTGAAAGACAGTATCTTTGAACTTTACCTGAGTTTATTATACAAGTAGGAGAGACACAGTCTAATAAAAAAATGCTCTTTTTAAATATTGTTCATGTCAGCTCTGGCTTTAAATGAGAAATAATTACTCTATTGACATGGCACTCAGACCCGCTTGCCTATTGCTATATATTTATCTCCATGGCATTTAGCAAATATGGCAAGTTTATATGTCAGCATTCATAATTGTCTATTGTCAATCTCGGGCATTTTTTGGTATTCTACAGATTATCTATATCATGTCTCTTTTCCCATAGACTCTTAAAAAGCTGAGATATAAATGATGTCAAATGGTACCTTTCACTCAATCTTTAACATCTGCTTATTCCAAATCAAAAGGCATGGGAATACATTCATGTAGTACCAAGTTGGTTTCAAAGCAAATGGTTATCCTGGGATAAAAGAAATAATCAGGGTCAAGAGGAGCCTCTGTCACCCTGTTTGCAAGGTTGAAGGAAAAACTGAATGCCACTTGAAATCTATGTTTGGTCCCTGAGAGATGCTGGTTTCATGAAGTTTCACCATATATTGTGTGTGTGTGTGTGTGTGTGTGTGTGTGTGTGTGTGTGTGTGATGCTTTCATATAGTGTGTGTGTGTCTTTCATATAGTGTGTGTGTGTGTGTGTGTGTGTGTGTGTGTGTATTTTTTCAAGGACCCGGATCAACCCCATGCTACAAATCTGGGCTCTGTGTGCCTGTAGCAGAGAGGAGAGCAGTCGAATTTGTGCTTCCAAAGCACCCAGGCTCTTCTATTAAACTTTCTGCTTATTACTATGTTACTGGAATACAAAGAATTACCTCCTTCCAATTCAGAAAATGAGAGAAACCAATTTTTGCATTAAGTGGAATTGTTTATGTGGCATCAGGCAATTTGTTCTAATGCTCACCGCTGAGGGACAGAATGGAACGAGGATTACTCAAGCAGGATCTGAAAAGGTGCCCATTCTGTTACATTCTGTCACTTTTTAAGGAAATCATAAGCAAATATCTTCTTAGATACATTAAAATTACACTTTATCACAAATAGCAAAGACAAGGCTGCAGACAAGTAGGAAAGAAGTGGCAGTTTCATACTTGGGAAGAACTGAAAGTGTCAACAGGGATGAAGCCTAAGGTGTAGGCCTTTGCTCTGTTCTTAGTGATGTATCTGGCTGCCGCAGTGGATTCTTTTCCATGGCTCCTCAGGGACAAGGAGGTAGGCAGTGCAGGGATCCAGAACCAATGACATTGCCAGTTGTATTGACACAGGTTCACTTGACTTCAGTGTATGTTCCAACATAGAGACCTAGATTATATCTGCCATCTCTACCAGCTATAAGAGTGATAGTCCTATAATCCCCTTCTTCCTCAAATTAACCACCAAAATCAGAATGTCACACAGAAACACAGCACTTAGAGAAGGCTTGGACAGAAAATTAGAGGAGGAATAGGACAGAACCCAAAGATGTTTTGAAATACATGGAAAGAAAACCATCCTGGTATTTGATTTCCTTTACTTAGGCTAGAGATAGAATTAGTCCAGAAAATTGATTCAGATTGAAGCACCCTAAAATTGCCTACAATTTGTCATATAAACCCTGAGTAAATAGTGATAGAATTCCTTAGAACCAGAGAATTTGATATGTTGGAGTACATTTTTACTTTTGCTATCTCATTTTACTCCTTAGCATATTAAATTCTTATCTACTAGCCATGCAGGTGTTTAATTATCGAATGAATACTTCAAATGTGTCATGCTACTTTCCTTCAGCCTGCTTCCAAATATTCAAAGTTGTCTTTTGCCATGGCTCCACCACTGAAAGAGAGGGGCCAAAACATTTCTACCTGCTTTTCTTCTGCCAAACATCCTCATTTTTAGCTAAGTACACAAAGCTATTCAGAAGTCTCTTGTTAGCTGGGCAATATGAAGGGCAGGACATTTCTCCCCAAGGTGCCACCAACCTAACCTGGCCTTGTCATTTTCCAGGTTATCAGGGAAGGGTATGACAAAGTTTTCAGCCTGCAGACAGAAATGATATTTCATTCTAGGCATAATTGAGCTAATCAACCCCAGATTAGGGATAAATAGAGACTAGCCACCAAGCCCAGAGCTTATAGCTGAGGTTTCCATAGTGTCATCCTTTCTAAAACTCATGTGCCTTTCCTTCTGTTGATGGGTCTCTTAAGCCCTTTGTCCAGTGAGACTAACCAACCCATCCCAATAGCAAAGGTTGAATTCTGAATGACTCAGCCGTGGTCTTATAAACAAATGTGCACATCATGTTCCACTGAGTAAGAACAGATGATTTCAAAATAATAATAATAACAATAATAATAATATCTGCTGGAACAAAGAAAAAATTACATTTCACTGGCTCAAGGGCACTTTGCAAGCTTCATATGTTTGGTTCTCTATCACCCATTGCAGATTTGGCACTTAAATGCAACTGCCCCAGCTTTTTGCCTTAGCAAAAGAAAGAAAGATAGTGGCAAACATGCAAGGATCATGGCAGAATCCAATATCTTCACTTCATCTATAGAGAAATTGCAACCCAGAGAGTAGAAATGATGAAATCACACAGCTAGTTAGTGACAGAACCAAAACCAGAATTCGAGACTGCCTGCTAGTACTAAATAAATTTCCTAAAGCTCTGTGGAGATGTCTCCAAGAAATCAAAAGGAAATTAAAGCCAGGTTTACTAAGATCACAACCTTCTACTTCCATCCCATACTCATATTTACATGTTTATATTTACATGTTCATTGCCATATATTTGTGACTTGTCTTCTTAATCCCCACTCCCCTCTAACACACACACACACACACACACACACACACATGCGCATACACACATGCGCACACACACATGCTTCTATTTTGCTAGCTAAGAAAACATGGCATATTTCTACAGCTAGCATATTCAGGTGGAGGGCAGAATTAAACATGATGAAGATTTTACTGCTCACACTTTTCTTGCTGATCTGGTTCACAAGGCACCTAGAAAACCGAGTCTCTGCAGCTCCCTATTAATTTAAAGTAATAGAAGCTGGTGAAATCCAGTGACTATGGCTCTGGTTCTATACACTCAGTCTTGGATTGGCACCCATAAATGCCCATGCACGCATGCACACACACACAAACACACACACACACACACACACACACTTTCTGAAAAATAAAATTAAAACAAAGGAAATAAAAAATACAAGTCAGATGGTTTTATAGTAGACTATGATAAAAATAAGTTTTGGTAGTCTGGGGTGGTATTGTTTCTTAATTCAATTCCCTAGGATCTATGCTTGGTTTCCATTAATCCACCTCAATACTAGTCAATGATGGAGGTTGTTTCTATAACTTTCTCTTAGAATCTGAGAAAATAGGCTGATGCAAACATGTCTATTACAGCCCAGAAGGAGGATGTGGAGAACTTTTACATTATAGTGAGGACATTACAAGGTGAAGAAAGAGAGGCTAAGATGAAGTGGGCTTGGGTTTTGCTATTCTAAGTGTGTTCACCATACCAGTAGCACTACCATCCACTAGAAGCTATTTATAAATGCAGAATTTTAGACATTTCATTAGACTTACTGAATTGGAATCTGATTTTTAAGAAGATCCTCAATGATTTGTTTGCATACTCAAGCTTGAGAGTCACTGAACTAGAGTTTATCCCCCAAATCATCTGAAAGTCATTTGAGAAGAGACAATGTGTGCTAGGCATTTAGGGACAATTCATGCAGCTTATCACTAAAAATAAAAATATAAAATTCCACCAGGTCCACTTCTCTCGTTATTCAGCATAAAAGCATTAAGTGTAGGCAAGAGAGATTATTCAAAGGGAGTCCACAGGATTGTTCTGTATACCAGAAGAACCTGGGTTTGGGGACTCACACAAACCTGAGTTTAAATCTTAACTGTTTCTACAAATAAATAGCTGTGTAAATTAGTACCAGGTACTTCGAGCCTCATGTACCTGATCAGTATAAAGGGATTAACATTGAAATTGAGTTATTAAGAAGATTAACTGAGACACTATCTATAAGACACCAACCT